TGTCGCACCTCCACATCAGCACGCACCTCAACGTGCTCCTGCACTCGGTGCCCAAGCACCACATCCACCCGCACGACTCGGGCGTCCTCGACTCGGGCGCCGCCTACAGCACGAGCCCGCTGAGCCACATGCAGGGCACCGCCTCGAAAGCGCCTCGTCATCGGCGACCCCCTGCCGCTCTCCTTCTCCGTCCGCTGGTTCCCGACGCCGGCGCTGCCCAAGACGGAGGGCACCGTCGAGTGGCAGGGCATGGGCGGCCACATTTACGCGAGCACCGTCTTTTACAGCATCGTCAGCTTTGGCGCCGGCGTCACCGTGGCCGGCGCCTACTTCCTCGGCGTCGTGCTGCCCAAGAGGCTGAAGAACAGGACCCTCGGCGGCGCGACGCCGCTGGGCTACGGTGTCAATGGGGTTGGCGTCGGGAACGGATGGGGGTACTCCAAGACTTCGAAACGTCTCGACTGAGGGGTGTCAGTATAGACCCAGGCGCCTGTGTATGTGTGTATGTGTGGTGGAGTGGTGCGTTCTACGACGTAATGTTACATAGTGGCGAGATGGACGCCGGGGACAAATTGTTTTGGCTGTTTGCCTGTATGTTCTGGGAGCTTCATGGGTTTTCTTTTTCTATCTCTTGTTACATGGGTGGGATCGCTTTCCCTCCCGCCTGCATGAAATGTATGACTAGAACAAAAATTTGGTCCGCCTCCCGAAGAAGAGGCAAGATGGCAAATGCTCACTCGTTCTTCTTCGTCTGAATGGCCTTTGTCTGATCCGCCGTCTTCGCCCGAGCCAAGAGCCGGTGGCCCATGTCGTAGGCAAGAATGCTCGCTAGACTCTGTCAGTTTGCGACAATCTCAACATCAGGTAAATTCGGCGGAACGTACGGATGAGTACCCAAGGGCCGTAGATCAAGAACATAAAGTTGGCCTTCTCGGATGTGGTGTACACGGCACGATCCCAGTAGGGCACGTCAAAAACGCATGTCAGGGTCGTCAGGGCGACCTCGACGCCGTAGATGACGCAGGCCAGCTCGAAGCCAGGCGTGGTGCCCTTGGTGTGGTCTTCAAAGACGCGGAGCATCCAGAAAACCATGGGCAGCTGGTAGGCAATCTCGAGATAGGTGAAGAGCAGGAACCACGAGGGCAGCTCCGCCATGCGGCGTGACAAAGTACCGGTCGTTGTAAGCGTCAATGTAGTACTGACGCAGGCGGAACAGGATGCGCAAGGGCGAACCTTCAGAGTTGCCCATCGTAGGCGGGTAGAATGGCGGCAGGTCGACAACTGGCTCTCATTAGGCTCTGGCTTTCTTCGACGAACAAGACAAAATCGCCTCAGAAAATCACATCCGAGGTTGATGCTTACGTAGAATCGCAATCAGCTGGACGCCAAAGATGATCATGTAGACATAGTCCCGGCGCAGCTTAGGTGAGGCAGACATGGTGGGTTTTGCGGGAGCCTTGCGACTGCTGGTAAGCTGGAAGAAGACGTCGCTCAATGGTGAGAAGATGATGACAGTGATGAATCGCGATGCCGACGTCTCTATACTCTGTCGCGTGTTCGCGATCTGTCAGATGAGATGATGGGTATAATGCTGCGGATAAGGCTCACAGTGGGACGCGAGCCGCACAACTGCAGCCAGCTGGCGTCTGCCCTTATTCTTCTAGACTCGTCCCGGTCATCGCCGCCCGCCGCTCTGGTCTGGACAAGACAACTCCAACGTCTGAACCACATCTACGGCATGACGATTCCAACTCTCGCTCGATTGTTACGAGTCTTTTTCCCAAGCACGTACTCAGATGATGTTCCTACAATAGCGCGACTGCGAGGAAGAATGTCGCCAGGACACCCGCAAATGAGACTATGGATACTGAGCCCGAACTGGGCACCGGGCTGTTCCCGCTGCCCTCAGCCGTTCCATTGCCGCCAGCGGCATCAATGGTGAAGTAGGTTCCTCCGATGGCTGGCCCAAGGCCGGCTTGGGTGCGGAACTGGACCAGCTGTAATGCATCATTAGCCAACGATCAAGACGCAGGAAACCGCGCAAGCATCATCATGGAAGATGATGGCTGGCAGCGAAGAGGACACCCACATCGAAAGTCTGCCTGTCATCGGCAACAAGACCCACGGAATCGAATCCCTCGCCGTTGAGCGCCTCGGGCTGCACGTATAGCAGGTAGATATACCTGTGCACGCCCGTGCCAGCCGGGGGTGCCGGCGGCCCGTAGCTCGTGAACGGCGCAGAAGAATTGACGAGCGTCGACGCCGTCGAGAGGACCGAGGAGACGGCCGTGCCGACGGTGAAATTACCGGCAAGGTAGTGTCTGATGCTGCGGTTCGTGGGGTTGGCGCGGCTGGGGGCGTCAGGCCCGACCTGGTCGTCAAGTCAGCCCTTACGAGAACCTAACCAGGGGCGAGGCAGTACCGGGGGCGACGCGCAAGCTTCACTTACCATGACGATGATGAAGCGCGTCGAGTCAGTCACGTTGGCGGCATTCGCAATGCCCTCGACGCTGAACTCTTGCGGGGCCACAGCCTCTGCGGTGGACAGCTCTGTGCCCGGTGCGATCAGCGCGGCGCCGTGACCATCTGCCGTGTTATAGCTGGCGTAGAAAGCTACAGTCGGGTTAAAGGCAGCGAGGACGTCGGGGACGATGCCGCCGGCTGTAAAGGCGGCGCCAAAGTCCTGTACTGAGACGCTTGAGGCCGCGTGGCCCTCGGCGGCGCCATTGCCTTCATCGCCGTGGCCCAGGACAAAAGGCAACACAGCCGCCAAAGCGAAGATTGTCGTATTTCTCATGATCGAGAATTGATCGAATGCCAACCAGAGTGGGTAGTTTGAGTAGGCTCGTAACGGAATTAGAAAGCTGAGTAGTCGTAACCGTCGTGATGCGCAGCGACCGGGACAGATGCACAGCACCTTTGTCAAGCAAAAGAAGAGAGATAAGAAACTACTGACTGCTACGAGGCATAGGTTCTGTCTGCTGTGGGACACCGTCACGTCTCGTTGTATGCCTTTATACCTGTCCTGACGAAGCGTGCATCTCTATACTGCCCTCATTTTTTCGTCGGCTGCGAGAACGTCTGCGCCATCAGCAGCCGAAACATGCGCAACGAACCCAACGAATCATGACCAAAACATGCTCAAAGGAAGTCCCAAACATTGCGCATGACGAGACCTGAAGAGTGTGACTGAATCGAGCTTCTATCGCGTGCGCTAGCATGAGCATTGGGCATTGGCGCTTCCCAGAGTTTCAAAAACTTGCGCACCTGTTCCTTCATCCGTGTCAGCCTCAGCCATTTCTGATTTCGACGAATTTATGTGTAAGCATCTTCGGGTGCCGATTGAGCTCGCTTGACCTCTTCTCTCATCGCCATCCTAAATCACAAGCCAAGGAAAGAACCTGGCAAGCCGTAGAGACAGATCAGCGCAGCTGGCACATTGAACGACTCATGCTAAATGCATGGAATGGTAGAGCAAGCCGGTCTGGATTCAGAAGGAAAAAGCACCTTAAAACTCTTTGCGTCCGGAGATTCAACATACGTCTCGTTTTGGATGGTAACGTGACTTTTAACTCCTACGGTCACAAAACATCAAAACATGGCGGGCTTATTATATCCTGCAATTACACAGTTCCGAAGTAAGACACATCGTCAGCCCCTCCGACGAGTAGGCTCTTGGGCTACAATTGAAGAAAAAATAACGGATCCCCAACGTGACGAAGCAGTCCTTGAAGCAGAACCCTCTCCGCGTGGTCTGCATGGGCGCGGGCAGGGGTAAAGCAGCGCCGCAGATACGATCTGCATCGTCAATGTAAGCTACAGAGCACGGCAATCATCAGACCACGGCAATCAGTGCACTGGTCAGAAACACCATTTACAGTATCATCGCGGGTGGGTACTGACGTCAATATCCTGACCGCTGCACAAACGGGAGCTTGGCGGCGGTTGGTGGCTTGGGTAATATTCAAGACGTGACGTTGGGCAATTGACCCCGCATACTGCAGATGTGAGAATCGAGAATAAACATGAGCTGTTAGGTGGATGGCCTGTGAGGGTGAATGAGAGGCGCATGGCCCAGATTCCGTCGGGATCGGCGTGCTCGATTGTCTCTCGTTTCTTTGCGTTTTGAAGTGGTGCAGTCTGCTCTGCAATTCAACTTCCAATACAGGCCGCTATCGCGCACCGAAACATATCTGGTCGGATCAGATTTTGCACGCGATTGAAAACAGCAACATGAGCCAGTCTGTGGCGGATCCGTCCGCGACGCGACGGTCACTGCCCAACCCAGTGGCATGCTCGCACCATCACATTGGGTCGACACGGCACCACAAGCCGAGGTGAGTGGCGGCATGAGACGCATCCTCTCAGGGAAGAGCCAAATGACGCCGACATGGATAGCTGACGGGCAGCTGCACAGGACGAAGGCAATCGGGGGGCAACAGTCGAAGACGACGACTCCGCGTTCATGGACGAAGGCGCAAGCCCGAGCGCCTCCATCAGTTCTAGCATCCTACAATACCGCGTTATTAAACGGGTCGGACATACCATTCCGATCGTGGGTGACGCGACATACTGGGCATCGAACGACGACCAGCAGAACGAGTCCCTTGACATCCTGCATCACCTCTCTTACCTGTCGATGAATGGCAAACTCCATCTTGCGCCGCTGAAGAAAGAGTCGGTCAAAAGTGTCCTGGATGTTGGCACAGGCACAGGCATCTGGGCCATTGACTTTGCCGACGAGAATCCCGGCAGCGAGGTCATGGGCACCGATATCTCCCCGATCCAACCCTCGTGGGTGCCACCAAACCTTCGATTTGAAATTGAGGACTTTACCAAAACCTGGAGCTTTGCTGAGAACTCCTTCGACTACGTCCACATGCGATACCTGTTCGGCAGTGTCACAGACTGGTATGAGCTATTCAGACAGTCGTACCGCGTCTGCCGACCAGGCGGGTGGATCGAGAGCTACGAGGGCTCAGCCATGTGCTACAGCGACGACGGCACTCTCAAACATGACAGCGCCATGGCAGAATGGGGCAAGTTCTTCATCGAGGGTGCGAAAAAGTTGGGGCGCGTTTTCACACCGATCCCGGACAGCCTCCAAGAGAAAGGGCTTGAGGCGGCCGGGTTTGTGGATATCACGTCGTCAACGATGAAGATTCCTGTGGGAGGCTGGCCAAAGGATGAGAAGCTGAAGGAGATTGGTCGTTTCGCGCAGCTGACGCTCGAGTCGGACGTCGAGGGCTACGTGTCTTTCATGGCTGGTCTGCTCGAGGGATGGACTCAACAGCAGATATTGATGTACTGTGCTCAGTTCAGGCGTGAGCTGAAGGCGAGAAAAACGCACGGCTACTACCTACAACGTGTGGTGTATGCACGGAAGCCTGAGACGTCAACGGCTTAGTTCCCTTGCCCGCTGGTAGGCATCGTTGCGTCAGTGGGGGATACAATGGTGAAGTGCCCGGACATGAGTCAATGCACCTTACAAATGTAACGGAATGTGACATTTTGAAAAATGCTCTAAATTCCTTCATGATACATTTGAAATCAAGTCGTAGTATTGTTCGTCCTAGGGTACTAGACTTTGATCTACAGCTGGTAGATCAGATGCAGCATGGTTGGTGCGAGGCACAGCCGCTCGCCGGATCGTCAATTTGGAGCGATCTTCTTCCCCAGACGAACTGACGACGCGGGAACGGCCCGGCTCCGCGGTGATCTTGAGTCGTGCAAGAAACATCGCGCCCTAAATGTTGAAAACTGACACAGGTCAATCGCCTCATTATTACAAGTAAACACATCTTACCTGCCTATCAGAAATCGCGTGCGGACACCCTAATTGGCAGACGGCTGAGCGTCCTGTATCGCGCGCTGTCTGTTACTGAAGGAGCTCAATCAATGACGCCAGCGAGCTTCATTATGGTTGATTTTGACTTTCTGAGTTGATTAACCTTAATTTAGGTGCGTCCTGCACCTCAGCCACAAGTACCATGGCACCGGGTGCTACGGTAGTCCAGATAACAGCACCCAAGGTAGATATTTGGGAGATGATAGAAACATGCTCGACGATGGGATCGCACAAAGTTTGTCTTTGGTCACGTCGAGATCGATGCTCCAAGAGGGGTTCGCGCTCACCTCGAACGGGGCCGTGTGTCCTTGTCAGGGGTGGCCTGGCAGCTGGAGTTCTGGCATCCGGAATCGCGCCGAGGTTGGTTTTGGGACGATCAGGCACTTGGGCCAACGAACCACATGGGAGCGATCCGTCAAACGGCTGGAAAGACAATTTCAGCGAGCCATGCGAAATCTTTCCTATTGCCTGGGATTGGAGTCTCCTGGTGGACGCACCGCCGTTTCGCTACTGGCGTCGTTTGGTAGTCTGTTTCGCAATGAAATGAAGGGCATGAGAACAAGGGAAATTGCAAGTCGTTCTCGTGTGGGCGGCGTTTACCTCCCCCTCACCAATGAAGTTGTTGTTGACCATTGGTCCCTCACTCCAATTACACGACGACCGACTTCGGACTCGTATTACAGGTCGTTGTTTGCTGTGACACTGCAATTCGGTGCGAAGTATCAATTACGAATACCAAGTGCCGACGAGAGAACTTGGCCAATGGCATTGTACAGTTCGCTACACTTACTCATGGGAACCCCTGTCATGCGCCGTTGAGTGATTCTGGGCGCGCGACGATCAGGCCCATTTGCAGTCAATCGCCTCCCGCGATTCGAGTCACCTGCTTCGCTGGATGAGAAAGGGGAAAAGAGGCACGGACGGGATAGAGACTAATTCGTGCAAGGCTGCCACACCGCTGGCTTATCTTTTTCCAGAATAGGAGGGTGTTTTGCCAGAGCGAGTGATTTACGACGACTTCGCTCTCGTCGGCGAGTTCCGACCCCATTTGACTATCACGACCTAGGTCACTTGCCGGCGGCAACGTGACAGAGCATGGCCACTCGAGCTGCCAAGCCGTCATGGCTCCTCGGAGAAGATGGGGACGAAGAACAACTCCCGTTCCCCCGCGATGCAGCCGGAGCATCCAGTGGCCTGAGATATCTGATCCGCGAATGTAGCCCAATCTATGCCTTGACTCCTTTAGGAAGCTTGTTTTCCAGAATGGCGCTTGTTTCGGGTGATGTACATTAAAGGTGCAGGCGATGTGCCTGGAAGAGGCAATTGGTAGGATATCACGGCACGTCTGGGTCGCCGACTACGGGGGCGCACGACTCGTGAAGCCTTTGACCAAGGCAGCGGGTTCCTGGCCTTACCCGCCCTCCATCCGCAATTTCCTTGATGTTGAGTGCTCTCTGCTTACCACCGTCCGTTCTTGAGGTGTGCCCGACGCCAGGACCGGCACTTAAAACCTCTACCGGCGGGGGACCTTCTCTTCTAATGCTTAGCGCCGGACCGCCTCCGCACCTCTGCCGGATAACCAATCCAACCCTGGTCGTAGACAACTCAATCGATCTCTTATCCGGGGTGGAACTTGGCTGCATTTGGCATGTGGTAAAAGATGTGGCTCTCGACGCCATACGCCAGCATGAAGACGTATCAAGTGACCGAATAGGTCGGTTCTCGATAGGACTACTATCGTCAACTCAAGCGACGGGGACACGGAGGGTGTGCTGGAGAGCAAATATAAAGAGGAGACGAGTGGCGCAACTTGTATAGGTCTTTGTTCTCATCATCCAACGCATCATCTCTTTATCGCTTCTCTGTCCAGACTCAGTCTTCGCCTCTCGGGATTCAATCGTCACCATGCTTTTCAAGAGCCTCTTCGTTGCCGCCGCCACGGCTGTCGGTGTTTCCGGCCATGTCGCTCGGGAAGCCCCCAGGACCTTCGGCTGCGGTACTCACGAGCCCTCCGCCGAGCACGTTGGCATGTCCAAGGTCCTCGCTGCCCAGGAGGCTCGCGTTCTCGAGTCTGGCAACCTGACCGCTCGTGCCACCATCAACGTCAACGTCTACTTCCACGTTGTCGCTGCCTCTCAGACCGTGGCCAACGGCTACCTGACTGTAAGTCTGAAATAATAACTTTGTGATCTGGACAGAGGTGCTTACGCTCTCCACAGGACAAGATGGTCACGGACCAGATCGCCGTTCTCAACCGGGACTTCGCCCCCCACGACGTTGCCTTCAGGCTGGCTGGTACTGACCGCACGGTCAACACCGGCTGGGCTCGTGACAGCAACGAGATTGCCATGAAGCGTGCGCTCCGCAAGGGCACCTACAAGGACCTCAACCTCTACACTCAGGTCAGCCTCACCGACAACGCCCTGGGCTACGCCTACTTCCCCACCTCTGGCGCCACCAGCGGCAGCACCACCTTCATCCGCGATGGTGTCTCGATCAAGGCCCAGACCGTCCCTGGCGGCTCCCAGGCCGGCTTCAACCTCGGCAAGACCGGCACCCACGAGGTCGGCCACTGGCTCGGTCTCTACCACACCTTCCAGGGCGGCTGCACCGGCTCCGGCGACCAGGTCTCCGACACCCCCGCCCAGGCCAGCTTCAGCAGCGGCTGCCCTATCGGCCGTGACTCCTGCCCCGGCCAGGCTGGCCTTGACCCCATCCACAACTACATGGACTACTCCGACGAGTAAGTGCTGAAGAGCTCTCTTCCCCCCAAAGCCCATCAGAGAGAGCCAGCTTGCTAATATGATAAAACACAGCTCTTGCTACGAGGAGTTCACCCCTGGCCAGGATGCTCGCATTCACAGCTTCTGGACCACCTACCGTGCTTAAATGGAGAGTTGAAACACTCTCATGAGCGGAAGAACCCCAAAAAGTCTATTCGATGGGATGTTGCGATCGAGGCGTTAGGTTGTGATGTGGCATCAGTTCGGGAGTAACTGCATGTATTGGCGGCTTGTAGCATGTACTGGTGGCTTGTAGCATTGGCGGTTTGTTGCATTGGGCGAGGAGTTCAAGACTTTTTTCAGTTGGTGAGTCTTGTTGTAGTAGTGATGACGACGATGATGACGATTTGACAACCCGAGATGGAATGTCACGAATGAAATTCTTGGATTCTCGGCGAGAATGTTTTAGCATTTGCGTGTTGTAGTGACTCGAATTTACCACGGCCATGTTACCGTGGAAAGGAAATTGTAGATTATAGCTCGAGCACTAATCGCATGCACCAGAGTTGTGAGATGGGGGGTTTGAGATGGTGTTTTCGAGAGTTAAAATACACCAATTGGATGATCAAGAAGCTTACAACAAATATACAGCACCAGTGTGAAACCTGTGATTTTACTTGTTGTGAAGACTTTTTCTGAACGCCAACCCTAGCGTCAGTTCTGGTACCTGTCAGGGTCTCCAATCTTCGTTGAGTGAGGACGATTACACCGCAGCGCATGATTGGAGGCTTAGGGATAATAAAGGCCTCGGAAGATGCAAGTCGTCAGCCTTCACATCATGACATTCTCTCTATCAGTAGTGCCTTATTTGTTCGGAGCTGGATGCCTGCATACGGGAACACCCTCAAAGATGAGCAGCTTTAAGGCAACATGCTTGAGAGTTCCAAGAAGGAGGTCTGACTGGCCTTCATGGGGAGAAGATATGCTACGAATAGACAAACAAGATGATTTGAATAAGCCTGGGCCTGCTACAAGGGAGACGAGAAACCCTCCGCTTATTGCTTCCATTATCTTCTGTAACAGGTGATTATTCAAGAGACTATGCGTTTGTCCGATAATTGTGGAACACATGATTCGAGTCGTGATTATACATGGAGCGCCCTGCTTGCCCGAGTCAAGGTCGAAACTTTCTGGCGAATGGTTTGCAAGGTCTTGTGATGTGGTGGCAACGTCGCATCTACAGAGAATATCAAGATCGACAAGACTTAGCTCGT